CGGCGGACTATGAGGCGCCCACCATGGTGCGATGCGACCGCGGGCTGCAGATGCTGCTGACCACGGCCGGAGCCTTCGCCGCCTTCTCGCTCATGGCCATCGCCATCGGCACCGACTACTGGCTCTACTCCAGCGCGCACATCTGCAACGGCACCAACCTGACCATGGACGACGGGCCCCCGCCCCGCCGTGCCCGCGGCGACCTCACCCACTCGGGGCTGTGGCGGGTGTGCTGCATCGAAGGTACGGACCTCTCCCCAGCACGCACACACACACACGGACACACACACGCACGCACGCACACTGGCTGAGGCGCGGGCCGGGGAGGGGGTGGGTGCGGCGCGGGCTCCGCGCGAGACACAAAGGAGCCGGAGCGGGTGGGTGGGTCCCCTCGCGACCAGCTGTGCACCGGCTCGGGTCCCCGGCGGAGAGGGACCTTCCCGACACACCGATCCCACAAACTCTGCACTCGCACGCGCACACCCCCTCGCACACGGACACAATGAAACACCGAAACTCACGCGCGCGCTCGCGCGCGGAGCTCCAGACCCGAGCGATCCCCAGGGGCCGCGCTGGCGCCCCAGGGGGAGGTGGAGGCAGGCGTGGGGGCGGGAGGAGGCTGGGGTTGGTGGGAGCGGGCGCAGGGGGAGGGGGAGGGGTTGCTTGGCAACCGGTGTCTGCGATTGCTATGGGAACTGGCCATCCTGGGGCGGGGCCGGCCGGGGGCGGGGAGCGCTGGGGCCGCTAGGCGCCGGCTCTCGGCCCCCGCCGAGGGGTAGGGCTGGAGATGGGGCTGGGCCCCAGGCGTGTCTCGGGGAGCCGGGAAGCCCCCGCCGGACGCCCGCCAGCTCTTCCACGGGGTCACCGCCCCGCCCCCATCTGCGCAGTGGCGACGTGGGGGGAGCGACACAAGTACCCCCCATCGAGGCAGAGAGCCCTCGGTCGCGGCGCCTAGCGGGAAGCCTGCGGAGACCTCCTTGCCGGGGAGGCTGGGGTGCGCAGGGCCACCGGTGGATCCGGCGGGGCCTGGGAGGGGCGTGGTCGCTCTGTGGGGCGCGCGCCGCGACCCCTGGGTGCGCGAGGCGGCGACGTAGTAGGTGTGGTACGGCTGGGACGCCCCTAGGCTGCCCGGGACTGTGGGGCGGGCTGCCCCCAGGTAGGCAGATGCGCGCGGCGTCCCCGCCTCCCGGGCGCCCTTAAGCCCAGCTGCGGAACTTGAACTAACAGGTGGCTGTAAGGGGACCGTGTGGTCCAGCCAGGTTGCGGGCAGGCCTGCCGCTTGGTCTTTGGCTCTCAGAGTGGGGACGAGTTGGTTGAGCGTTGCTTTGATTTCTCAAAAATCTTTGGTCGGAGTTTCCTCTTCCTTTTTCTGGCACCTTTCCTGGTAGGTTCACTCCGCCCCTGGGTTGTTTGGCAAGTTCTAGCATCCATCTCGCCTCTCTTACTGCAGCTACAGCCCTACGACTAGTTCAGCCTGGCGGGATGCGGTGGAGGTGGCAGAGCGCTCTCAGAGCTCCTAGAGACACTGCCTTTTCCCCGCCGCATTTGGAGTCATGTGAAAGGAAGCTTTGTAAGCCGCGTCTGCCTGTCCAAGTGGAACTTGCCCCCCGTTGTCTCCCCGAGACCGTGCCTGTCCTCAACTGGAGTCCTGCCCCCTCTGTGTCCCCTGCATGGACCCCCAGATGGGGCTGCTTTGCCCTCTGCAGTTTGGAGCTTAATTCCAGGGCTACACGGAGTCTCCAGGTAACAGTGATGTGCAGCTGGGAGAGCATAGCTACACAAAGGAGCGGGCGGGCCCACCAGCACACCCTCCTCTTTTCTTTCGGAAAAACATCATTTTGAGGGTGCCGTTGCTCAGATCACGAACACCTACTCCTCTTAGCTGGAGCATGCACCCACGTCACTACCTGCCACAGAACCTGAGTTAGACACACAGCAGGGGCTGCAGTGCCCCCGTGTTCCAGCTCGCAGGCGTCTCGGGGTGCCACCTGTGTGGCACAGTGGATCATGTCACTGTCATCCCCACCCCAAGAAGTGCATGGACCTGGGGCCTTCGAGGTTCCCAGGGGAAACTGGAACTCATCCTGCACACTGGCAAGCCTGGCCTTCACAGGGACTTGAATGCCTCCTTTATTAATTCCTCATCCTAATTAGGATTGATGCTGCACTTAGCATCTTGCCAGCTGCCTCGAGCCATTTGCACTCGCTGTTCATCAAGAGAGCCCCGAGCTGATCTGGGCAGCTGGCTGCACTGGTAGAGGGAGCCATCTGGGGGACTTGAACGGGGCTGCCTGTGTCATTTCTTAAAGCTCCCGGGACCCAGGGCTGGGAGAGCTGGTTTAAGATTCCTTGTTGTGCCTCCAATCATTATGACAGTTCCCGACCTGGGTAGGAACTCCCAGCATATCTTATAAAAACACACCGCGGAGGCTGACACCTCGCAGAGCCAGCTGATAGCTCCAAGAATGCCTGGCAGCAAGTGGCCAGAGCTAAAATCTAGCTGGCACATTAACCCCAGGCCACCCCCTGGGGAATGGGAGGGAGGCCTCCGTGTTGGCTTTTACGTGGGAAATGCATAGTTTCCACCTGTTCTTTAGCAGAGCACCCCAAAATAATTACATCCAAACCAAAACGGGATGGGGTGATCAAATCCCTGAGCTGAAACTGAAGAAATACTGCAGCAGGCAGCTGATAAGGCATAGGGTACAGCGCAGAACTCGGATGGGTTTGCTGGCAACTCGTTCCTGGGTGTTTGCCATAAATGGTGGACTAATTACTCCGACCTCTGTGTGTTCAATGTATGTTTGCAGCTGGGCGAGGGTGTTGCCCCAGCCTCGCTCTGATTCCCAAGCAGCATCCCCCTCACACGTGCCTGTCCGAGGGACAAGCGTCAGACTGCTCAGTGCCAGGACCTCGTGTGTGATAGCTCCGAGCAGGCTCACAGTGGCCCCACAAAGGGAGTAATGACTTCACCCACATCTGCAGACGGGGGAATGAGGCCCCGAGAGGTTCTAGGACTTGCCCAGAGGCTGCTGGGCCAGATTTGAGCCTCTGTCTCACTACAAAGCCTTTCCTGCCATGTCATCTTGCCCTTTCCCCAACAGCTTCTGGGTTGCCATTAAAAATAGAACCAAGCACTTGGCTACCCAGTGGAGCCCAGGTCTGAGTCTGGGCTGGCGGCAGCATGAAGGCATTCGGAGGCGAGGATGTACAACTGGTACAAAATTGCATAACACACCCTTCCCTTCTGTCCCTTCACTTTCCTTCCTTCCCCTCTGCTCTGTCTCTCTGTCTCCCAGTTTCTCTGTGTCTCTGTGTCTCTCCTTCCACTGTCTTCGGGACCACCCCATCCCTGCTACAATCAGTCACCTGCGCCCCAGCCCCTGAGACCCTCACTTCATTCTTTGTGTCCCTGGTGACCCTCAGCCAAGGCTGGGGACATAACAAAGGGGGCAGGAGATCTGTTTTCCATCAAAGGCATCGTCAGCCAACATTTGCTCCCCCTCTGCGGGATTCTAGAAAGGGACAGAGGGCAGAACCCGAGTACACGGTATGGCATGTGGACTGCAGAGGGACAGAAGACCCCACGGAAACATGGAGGCAACAGGACGCTCTAGGCCCAGAGGGACCCGGGTATGACCACCTGCCAGGGTCCCCATGCCCACCACGAACTGTAGAGTGCTCGCTGGACTGCTGGTGCTCCTGGGGTCAGGGCCTGCAAGGGACCCAGTCATAGTGCTGCTGTCAAGAACGCTCTGAGCCCAGCACGCGCCCTGGCAGATGGTCCTGGCAGAGCTGAGCCTCAGCAGCACCTCCCCAGCTCCCCTAGAGGAAGCTGCCCCCGCACTCACAGTTCTGCCAGAGCCTTAAGGAGGCAGCCTCAATGCCAGGTGTGGCTCCTGTACCTGTGTGTGTCAGCTCTGTGCTGGACACTAGCAGGAGAAGAAGGTTCTAGAAGCTGAGAATGTGCATGTCCTTTGCCATACTCGTGCTCATCTGCCTCACCTGGGCAGCAGCTCTTACACCAGGCTTTTTTCGCACGATGGCACACAGAAGGAAACCCTAGCACCACGCCCTGGAGGAGGGGATTGAGAGGGCAGTCGGGGGTGTCTACCCACCCACAAGTGGGGAGGGTGCGCACGCTTCCAGCTCACCTGAAATTCTCCCATGCCCATGAACTAGGAAGCTGACCTTACCCCACACTCCCAACCTGGGATCCCTGTGAGAAGCGTGATCCGGGTAATGCTATGCCATGGACTTTCCCTTCTGTATCCGTTGTCCTTTTCTCTTGCGCTAACCCGCATGCGGCCTGGGCAGTTAGGCCCCGGTGGGTGACAGCAGCCAGGGCTGGCTCCTCTCCCTGTGCACCAGGGTCCCCAGCTGATCCCCCGGCCCTCAGGCCCTCTGGGTAAATAACAACAACCATCACATACTGAAGACCTTCACACGACTCACACTAGTGCCAGCAACACTCTCGGGTAAACATTAATTATCGGACTCCTGAGCCCAGCTCTGCACGGCCAGGGACAGACAGTTGTGTAAACTGCTAGGTTTGGGAAGGGGCAGGTTCCAGTCAGCCCAGGCTTACATAACCAAACATGACAAACGGGCTGTTTAAATGACAGACATTTACTTTCCAAGGTTCCGGAGCTGGGAGGATCGGGACCGAGATGCACGCTGTCGGGTATGGCCGCTTTCTCGCCCGGTCCGCACATCGGAGACCGAGAGAACCCGCCCTTCCGTGTGTTCCCTGAGAGCACAGATCCCCACAGGAGGACCGCAGCCTTAGGGCTGCATCCCAGAGGCTCCATCACTGCACACCGTGATTCACACCAGTGTTCACAGGAAGGACTGGGGCTCCAGCATAGGAATTGGGGGCTGTGTAACGGCTAGTCCGTAATGAGTGTCCTCTCTTCCTGTCCCGGAATGCCATGCCCCATCTCCTCTGGTCTCTCCTGTTCTCTACTCTTTTCTCTCTTTTTGTAAGGAAACACCAGCTCTTTTTCACTGGAGCCAGCTGATTTCGTTGGCTTGACTCAGCACAACCCCAGTCAGAGCCTGGGAGAAAATCCAGTCCACGGAGGAGCTGGGGTTCTTGGTGGACCCCAGCCTGGGGATTGACTTAAACGCCCTTCCACAGAGCTGGCTTTGGAGGGGAGGGCTTAAGAAAAGCTCATTAGGAAAACCAGGTTTTTAAAATAAATCACCTGCATCAGTCTCCCCAGACACGTGAGACTCTGAGG